CTGCGCCCTGCTCATAGTAACCTTGCAGGTGTAGGTCATGCTGCTCGGTCACCGAGAGCAGGGCACTGTAATGGGCTGCCGTCGGTAGGAACCCCGCCTCGAAGTGGTTGGGGCGCCAAGGCGTCGTCTCCACAGGTGCCCCACCGCCGCAGTATGCCCACATCTGTATGATGGGGAGTTTGGATGCATAGCCCCCTTCCCGGACAAAGAGAGGTGGGATGTAGCCGCTCTCAAGCTCCCGGTGGGGGATCATTTTGTGTCCCGGGTTGAAAAGTAGGATCGGGCATTGTAGCACCGAGGCCGCGATTGCACTCGCCAGTCCGCTCAAGGAGCTTGCTGGTTTCGTCAGGGGGGTAAACACTGACGCGCCGTAGTCAGTGCTCGCCACCCCTGGGCCTGACTCTGCTTGATGATAGCGGGCAGAGTTGACCAGGAAGTGGAGCAGACACCGCAGACGCAACGCCACCCAGCCACTCTCTTCGCTGCCCAGCACCGAGATCAGCAGTGAGCGCAAGTGGCAGTTACCATCCCCCTCGGTGTGCTTCAGCTCGAGGCTGGGGATGGGGTGTAGCCAACTAAGGTACGTACTGCCATATGCGTCAAACCCAGCACTGTTAGGGAGGCCGGCTACGTCCCCAGCTAGCAGGCCCTGTATGCCATCTACAGGGGGCAGAATCCGCTCGACGCAGGAGGCTAGGATCCTCATGGCCAGGTGGTTCCATTTGTGCCCCGGGCGCTCCTGTGGCAGCTCTGGGTCGCAGGGCATGCGTTCCAGTTGTGCTGCTGCATATCGTATGCGCCCCATTATGGCTGTGGCTGCCGCGTCGCTCACCCCCAGCCAGCTCTCTACTCGTTGTTGTTGCCGGGGCGGTGGCCCTGGGTTCTCCTCCACATCCCCACTTAGCAGGAGCTTCATGCGCTTTACAAGGGCGGTGGTAGAACACGAGCATGGGAGGCGCAACGTGCTAGCGCCGGCGATGGGGGTCGCCTGACGGCGCGCGTGGTGGCGTCGCATGGGACACCTACAGCTAGGGGTGCATGCTGCCACGCCCGCTCCCGCCGTGGCGGCCCTCAACGCCCCGCCCGCGGCCCCTGCCGCCAGCAGAGCCGCGGCCGCCTCCATGCCGCCCGCGGCTGGCGCCCCGGCCCTGGTAGGCGCTGCGGCTGTTGCGGCCGCCGCCGCGGCCGCCGGGCGGTGCTGCCTGCGCATGGACAACGGTGGGGGACATGGCATTATTGTAGACAGGGCACGAGGGGTTACATGCAAGTGGGCGTTCAGCTGGTGCCCCGCGGGGCAGGCAGCCAGGTTTGTGCGTGGGTGTGGCGTGCATATTTCCCAAACCCTACCGAAAAAACCCAAAAAACCCTAAAAACCCTACCGATAAGCCCGATGTATTTCCCTCACTCGTGACACACATACACCCTGGACTGTCTCCCTTGCTTCCTGCAATGCATTCTGTAAACTCCAGCTGACACGCATCGCTACAGTGCGCAGGGTGTGGAGGGGAACCAGCCCGGGACAAAGTTGAGTACGTTGCTTCAAGCTCTCAAGTGTGCTGATGTGCCCGTGTGCTTGGTGTCAGCACGAAAGGCAGCAGTGGCTGGCTAGGCCTGGCAGCCGAGGGCAGCCCAGTCCTACGGCCACGCCCTCGGGCTTCATGCGCAAGGTGGCGCGTTGCTCGCTTCCCGTCTGCAGCATCACCAGGCCGTTGGTTCCTCTGCGGCAGTGCACGCGGCGGGAGGGTGTGGGTGGGGAGGGGAAGGCTGCAACATGGGGCGGAGGGTAAGGGCGGCGGTGATTCCGCTTCCATCCTACCTGACTGAAATTACAGAGACAGGGTGCTTTAAAGCACTGAGTGCCACGATGGCTCGGGAGAGTACACGAGTATGAAACAAAACAACATACATGGCGGTGGTAAAGGTAAAGGTAAAGGTGGGGAAGAGCCTCCACAGGCTTAACTTCCCGGTTTTAACGTCTAGCTTTAGACCATTATTTGATCTGCCCGACGCGCCAAGTGCAGTACCCCCCACTAGTAGTGAATGGGTCCCGGGGAGGCCTGTGCCGAAGCCTTGGCGATTCTATTAGGCGTTCCCGAAGGAATTGGCTTGGATTGGCGCTGAGCCGGTCAGCTATGCCGCGTTTGTCCTCACAAAGTTTCGACATGGGAGGAATCGAACCTGTGCCCTCTCGGAGGGTTTAGACACTAGCTCCAGCGCCTTCAAAGAAGGCCTTTCTTAGCCGCGGTGGAGCCGCGGTTAGCCGCGGTGGAGCCGATCGGGCACAACGGGCGGCAAGGAAAGCTGAGGGTGCCTGAAAACCAACCTAGTGACTATCGGAGAGTTGTGAGGAACGGAAACGGGGGGCAAAAATGCGCGCCTGACTGACTGAGAACCGGGCCCTTTAAAGGGCTGGGGACACACAAGCCGTGCCCACTAGCTCTGGACAATATAAGTATGAAACCAACCAACAGACAGGGCGGCGGAGCGCGGGGCTGCGAGGAGCCGATCGGGCACAGCGGGCGGCAGGGAAAGCAGAGGGTGCCTGGGAGCCAGCCCAATGACTGTCAGAGAGGTGTGAGGATGGGAAACGGGGGGCAAAAGACAGGGGAAAGAGGGGGATCAAGGGCCAGGACCGCCAGCAGGCGGCGCAAGCGGCTCCGAGACGCCACCCACCCCGGCACAGAAGCTGGGGGAGCGGCCAGGCGGGCGGGCGGGGACCGCCTCAGAGGGCAGGCGACACAGGGGGTCAAGGCTCAGGTCAGATCACACGGGAGAAGGGGGCAGCCAGCTGCCAACGAGGAGAGGGGAGAAAGGGGGACGCCAGAGAAAGCACACCGAGCGGCAGCGCGGCAGGCACAGCAGCGCACGAGCAAGCACAGGCGCACAGGCACTGCAGCACACTGCCGGCGGGTCCCCGATGGCGTGACTGTGGAAAAGCGCAACCACCTCCACTGGTTCCAAGCACACCGCTTGTGCCGCGGCTAAGAAAGGCCTTCTTTGAAGGCGCTGGAGCTAGTGTCTAAACCCTCCGAGAGGGCACAGGTTCGATTCCCTCCCATGTCGAAACTTTGTGAGGACAAACGCGGCATAGCTGACCGGCTCAGCGCCAATCCAAGCCAATTCCTTCGGGAACGCCTAATAGAATCGCCAAGGCTTCGGCACAGGCCTCCCCGGGACCCATTCACTACTAGTGGGGGGTACTGCACTTGGCGCGTCGGGCAGATCAAATAATGGTCTAAAGCTAGACGTTAAAACCGGGAAGTTAAGCTTGTGGAGGCTCCTCCCACCTTTACCTTTACCTTTACACCTCGCACGGCGCAATAGCCAGCCAAGGGGCACCACAGCCAGGCAGGCAATAGCCAGCCGACAGCGCACGGGCAACCAGATGCAAGCCGGCACACAGGCGAGCAGCGCGGCAGCAAGGCGGCGGGCACAGGGCAGGCAGGCAGAAGATGGGCAAGAGAGTGAGGTGTTACAGTCACCCCGCTATGATAGGCCGCGTGAGCAGACCTTGGGCAGGGGGCACACGTGATCAAGGGGCATCAAGAGAGGGGGTGGACCATGGAGCACCCTCTCCATGGCTCCGACCACCCTCCCCCCAGCTGAGCGTCCCAGGGTCACCCCACCCTGGCCCCGCTCCCCGTCCTGCCGGACACGCAACCCCCACAACGTGGTGGGGGACGTGGGGATCCTTAGCAGCTTAGGCCTGCCAGGCCGACGGGTGCCGATGCTGGTGCGGGCTCCCGGCGGCAGGCAGCGCCGCCGCCGGGCACTCAAATGGCATGGGGCACATGGGCCCCCATGCCCGCACATCTCCCAGGCACATGAAAATACCAGAAGGCTGCACATGTAAGGGTGCATGCATTGCAGGCAGGAGTGCAAAGTGGCCTGCCGCGGCGGTCGGCTGTGCCATTACTCAATCAG